TTTAGGACTACCCTAAATGTTTATTAGGCCAGAGTCAAATCAAGGAAGATAACTTAGCTGCAGAGAAGGAGCCGTGAGCGTCAGGTGGCTTCCCGTCAAAAGTTACAAATAAATGAAAATGTGTCTCATAAATTTGTATATTAGCAAAATACAATTGTCCCACTTTTTACCCCGTTTGTAAGCAGCCGATGAGCTAGGCGCCCTGAGTCGGCTTCTCAACTTTTTGGCCACCACGCAGACGGCAAGCAGCGCTAGGTGCTATATATGCGATTGGTAAGTCTAAGTCACAGCTTTGAACCTTGTTGATTTAACCAGTTAAAGTTATTTGCATTATAAATTTAACGTTTAATTTCTAAGTTTGTAAATCGTCGCTGTGAAGGAAGCAAAACAAAACATTTTAAAAATTTCCAAAACAATTCACAAAACCCTGATGAGTGTCCTTAAAAGTAAGGACATAAGGTGTCTTTGGATCAAAAATGCAGTGTAGAAGAAAATTGTTTTTTTTTAATTTTTAAACGCTGTTTACAAATGAAGGTTTTTAAACTTAGATGAGACTTTAAAATTTTGAATGCGCCCACCCTCTCTTGTGGTTTAGTTAAATTGAATTTCCCAAAACGATCGTATAAATGGGACATGTAAATATTTAATTCCGAAAAGATAACCAAAATTGCTTGACCACTCTTGAAGATATCCCAAAAGACGAAGAAAATTTGTGATTTACGCAAATACCACAGCTGATGGGGTGGCAACTTATGCTTAGAAAAGCCACATTTTGTCGGCCTGCGTTATTTGCAGATTTCTAATTAACTTTATTTTATATAGTTTTCGTATAGTTTTGGTATTTGATATGACAAATGATCTGGGAATAGTTCAGTATTCCGAGGATGACCCAAGCGCATAAAGGGCAGTAGCAGTACGTTTTTCCTCTGGAATGGCTCTGCTACAAAGGATCAGATTCGACCTATTGGTTGTAGCGCAGGATCATGGGCTTTTTTGCCCGGCTCCATGATCTTGACGCTAACTTCTTAAACACGTGCGACCGCCATTCGTCCATCCGTCCAGGGCAGGTACAAAATCTACTTTTCCCATAGATGTTGTTATTGCTTTCATCATTGCAACAATGTTTCCAAATATATTTACGCTATGCAAATGCTGTTATGCGATTACAATTATCAATGACCAATTATTTAAATCTTTTGTTTTCTTTAGCTCGTGACGATTTCACAGAACAGCTGTTTTCAATCGCGTTTTCCAATGGAAACACCTCACGTTTGCCTATCTAAAATTTAGAAAAATACTAAAAGAAACGCATAGTGGAAAAATGCCTTTACATTTTCGATGAGTATGTAAATCTCATAGCGGGGACTCGAACAGGTTCAGGTTCGGGCATAAATAATAAAGATGTCAAATATTTTTAAAATATCGTATCGCTGATATATTTTCCTTAAGAAAAATATCAATATGATATATAATATATATATATATATATATATGATATATAATATATCGATATATCAGATACTTTTAGCCGCGTAAATAAGCTAACAACAAAGACTTTTGCCCTAAAATTAATGTAAAAGCACTAGAAAAGTATAAACAATATAATACGTTTTATTAAATTTCTTATTTTATTAGTTCCACACATAAAAGTGTTTGTTTTTCAAGTGGGATAACATATTTGATGTATTCCCACAGGAAGAATCAAGAAATCAACATTTTGTCATTAAATAGGATTGATCTTCAAGGGTTTTCTTTTCTTGTTTCTATAATTTCTTAGAATTTTTCTATGAGAGCCATAAGATAAAGTGGTCCTATATGGTTTGTTCCGCTATATGTATGTATTACCAGCAATAGAAGAAGACTTGTTTGCAATAGTTTCTATAGTTTACTTCCGAAATTTACGTGAACATCTTTATAGGGTCTTCCCACAGAGCTCCATCCACCATTTATCATCGGATGGTCCGTAAGGTTTTGCCGTTCCAAAAATTTCTCAGTTAGCCCGCCATCCAATTTTGACGGACTTTGATGGGCTCTTTGATGCGATAGTTAGGCGATGTTTTTTCGGTGCAACTCTGAATTCTTCCTCTTGACTGTGAAAATTGGAACGATGACTGCGAGAACAAATCAAATCGATGGCGGGAAAAATTAAATAATGCTTCAGCTCATTGTTTTTTTGGGTTTTTTTTAAAATTATTTTTAGTTTGTTATGAGCGCAAAAGCGTTCGCAAGCAGGTTGCTATGAGTGGGCCAAAATGTAAGCTGTTGTGCGTACAAAAACATCAATATTGGCAGCAAAGTGTCAAAATATGTTCTGCACTTCGTAAACTATAATAATTAAAAGTATACTTTGTACTCCTATAAAGTTCCAAAGTTGCTATAAATTACCAAAACAGCAAAAATTTGGTTTTGTTTACAAATTTGCATTATTAATATTGGCTAGACAGAGACGTAGTAAGAGCAGAGTGTGGGGTACGGGAGGTTAGGCTCTCCCCCAGTCAGCAATATGTATGCACACTCGTTATAGGATATGTTTTAAAAGCTCAGATGTGTTTTTAACTAGTGTCCTATGCTATTTATTGTATTAATCTACAATAAGATTAGGAGAACGCAATTTTACGACAGTTTTGCCGAGTTGAAAACCCCCTTTCGTTTATGTTGAGTTAAGCAACTGCTCTTCAAGTCAGCTGTTATTGGATGTGGATGGAAACTCTATGGGAACACGAATTTCACATTTGTCAAAAATCCGAACCGTTTCAAACGGATGGACTCTTTGGGAAGAGGCTATTAATTATTATTATTTTTTACACGTATCGAAATATCGATAATAACATAATTGTAACAAAACTTTAAAAATAATACCGTCAAAAGATCAACAAACCTGAAAAAATTTTATTTTCAAGATCATTCAAATTTGAATAACTAATAAGAAAAAAAATCATTTGTAGTATACAAAGACATAAAAACAAATTAGGTTAGATAATAATTGCATAGCGATATTGTTTAATGTATGAAGTTCTTAAAAGGCAAATAACTTTTTTGAATTTTTTTGTAAACTTTCACAACATTTTGTTGTGGAATTTATTTCCTGATAAACTCGAAATGCCTTAATTAAGTTGATGGCAATTCTTCGTTTTCGTGGAGGTTTTATTGCCCAATAATTGTGTTTGCTCAAGATAACTCTTAAAAAGTTCCCATTTCAAAAAAAAAAACATGTGAAGTTACCATACCAATACACTTGTTTAGAGCTAACAGCGGAACAATTTAGTTTCGATCTGGCACTTTTGGGTTTCAGGCATTAATCACTTTTAAAATTGCAAAAAAAAAATCCTCTAATAAAAAAATTAATTCGTTTTCTTTTCAAGTTTAAAATATTTTTTATCGCTATTAGCAAAAAGACCAATCAAAATGGGCTAAAAAGCCAACGCGAAAAAAAGAGCCAGATTTGGCTCCATTTTTGATTTTTATATATCTACGATAGCTGTGGTCAGTGCTGCAGTTGCGGAGGCAGGAAAAATATATTTTTTTTAAATTGCGCGCGCACTTTTTGATATATTTGTTTACTGTTACGTGATTGCAATGTATCATGCGCGTTCAGCAGAACAAACTTGATCACTGATTACTGATCCATCAGTGATCAGGTATCATGTTGTTCTGCTGAACGCGCCCATTGGGCATAACTGTGTCCATCGCCATTTGATCGCGTTTGCAACAAATGCTACCACGTGTCCTTACAAAAGGTGGGATTAGGATATTTTGTTACAATAACATACATTTTCGGGCAAACTGGCACGTTGCTGACCGCATGTTATAGCCTCTTCCCATAGAGTCCATCCGTTTGAAACGGTTGGGATTTTTGACGAATGTGAAACTCGTGTTCCCACAGAACTCCATCCACCATCTACCATCCAATAACAGCTGAGTGAAGAGCAGTTGCTCAGCTCAACATTAACGAAGGGGGATTTTAACTCAAAAAAACTGTCGTAAAATTGCGTTCTCCTAATTTTATTGTAGAATAATACAATAAATAGATTAAGAAAATAGTTTAAAAACATATCAGAACGTTTATAACATATCCTACAACGAGTATGCATACATATTGCTGACTGGGGGGAGCCTAACCTCCCGTACCCCACACTCCGCTCTTACTACGCCTCTGCCTAGCCAATATTAATATGAAAAATTTGTAAACAAAACCAAATTTGTGCTTTTTTTGGTAATTTATAGCAACTTTGGAACTTTATAGGAGTACAAAGCACACTTTTAATTAATATTAGTTATATTTACGAAGTGCAGAACATTTTCTGAAACTTTGCTGCAAACATTGATGTTTTCGTACGCACAACAGCTTACATTTTGGCCCACACATAGCAACCTGCTTGCGAACGCTTTTCCGCTCATAACAAACTACAAATAATTAAACAAAAACCCAAAAAACAATGAACTGAAGCATTATTTAATTTTTTCCCGCCATCGATTTGATTTGTTCTCGCAGTCATCGTTCCAATTTTCACAGTCAAGAGGAAGAATTCAGAGTTGCACCGAGAAAACATCGCCTAACTATCGCATAAAAGAGCCCGTCAAAGTCCGTTAAAATTGGATGGCGGACTAACTGGGAAATTTTCGGAACGGCAAAACCTTACGGACCATCCGTTCAACGGATGGTAGATGGTGGATGGAGCTCTGTGGGAAGACCCTATTAGATGACCAGGAGCTGACCCTGCGAAAAAATATGCATTTCCCATGGGTCATTTCTTTAGTTAAATCAAAAATTAATTTATATTTCAAGATCCTTTGAGATTTTAGTTCCTATATCCTTTAGAATGTGAAGATAAGCTCGAATCTTAATCCTGGATACACAAGAGAAGCTCAATTTTTAGTGTCCTTAGTATGTTTGAAACATTTTATTTGAAAGAAATAGCAAATTGAGATGGCATTTTCAAGCCGAGCACGAAGAATGGCGGGCTATCGGAGTATCGATAGGTGACGATCGAGCTATCGATAGTCGGCGATGTTTTCTTACATCACTAAAACTTTTGCAAGATGGAGCCTCTTTTGCTTGGTTTTAACAAATCAGTAGCAGCACGTGTATAAAAAGTGCCAAATAATTTTCAGAAAATGTTAGTATATTTCTTATATTAAGCGTTCGAAATGTGAAAAGCGGCTAGGGGAACTCGTGACCCATCGAATCCGAAACGGTTTTAGGCGATCCGAGAGTGCTTCAACGCAGAAAATAGCTTTTTAAAATTTCTGACGGTCAAAATGAGTGGAACGCAAAAAAATTACACGCCCGAATGACAGTGCAGGGAGTGGAAGCGAGAGGCAGCGAGCGAAAGAGAGCGCAGTGGTTGTGACGTCTGTCCCCACTTTACTCAGTCTCATGACTGGACAATGACGCAGACTGAATGGTTCTATCTTCAGTAGATTTCCACAACCTTCGGGTGACTTAGCCCGGCTCCATCTCGATTTTCTTTGGCTCGTCACACACGCCTTGGAAAATTTGCCAGTCGTTCCGCCCCTCCCCCCACTTATCAACCCTGTCAAGTATTACCATTTTAACCGGCTACTACCATTCGCGACCGTCGTTAGGCAACACTGGCCGCGTTACGTGCCCATATCGCTCGACCGCTCTCGCCCACTGACATTGACGCACGCGACACTAGGGTCGTCCCGCTCGCACCCGCTCAGGGGCGGACTCTCGCCGCGCATCGGTCAAAAGCAAAGGCCTCCTAGCTGTCGTCGCAACTGGCAGTCGTTTTTTGTTTTATACGTAAAGACACCGCTTCGCAGAGCGCACCGAGCCACAAACGTAACGGACTGAAAACACGTTCAACCGTTCGGCTTCGACTTTCGGGAGAAAACAACACAGGCCGCACGGTCAACTCAAATTCCCATTCTGTTATTCGTTCTATACAGACAAAACAGAAATTGATTAAGTGTACCGGGCTCCAGCCGTCGAAATTCAGGATATAAGTTTACCTAGTCAATTCTTTATTGTTGATAATGTGAGTGCCGCTGGTTGCCAAGCGCCAGTCGCTATTCGATTCGCCATAACCAACAAATGTGGCTAGAAAACGGTTACCTCCCTCCCCCCTCCATTTGGAGTTCTTCGCTTTCGTTTGGTTTCGCCTGCCCACTAACGCATTTTCTCTTGCCCGCAGGGATGACCGAAGTGAAATAGCTCAGGATGGTCCCGCCGGCATGGACCCCGAGGGAGTCATCGAGTCCACCTGGCACGAGGTGTACGACAACTTCGATGACATGAACTTGCGCGAGGAGCTGCTGCGCGGCATCTATGGCTACGGTTTCGAGAAGCCGTCGGCCATCCAGCAGCGCGCCATCATTCCCTGTGTCAAGGGTCGCGACGTCATTGCCCAGGCACAGTCGGGTGAGTAAATAATTCCGGACTCCGAGCTCCGGATTCCCCTCGATCATCATCGTCAGCAACAAAGAAAAACTTTCGAGAATGTACAAAATTGGCGAAAAGTGCCAGGCGATGACTCAGCTGCTGCGCCTGTATTCTTCGTTGAAACTGCGCTCTCGGCCGCTCTCTTTCTCTCTCTTATGCGACGCTCCCGCCCTCTCGATTCTCGGCGTCATTGCGCTTGCGCGCCACTTTTCGCTGGCCATCTGCGATTCGTTTTCATAACCGACCGGGCAAAAAAAAGTTCCTAGAAATAAGGTCGCTCGTCGGACTTTACGGCTGATCTTGCCAAATTCCAGCTGTGGGGTGTTCCGTTTTTAAGGTCAAACGTGAAGAATGCTATCTACCTGCCGATCAGTCGGTCCTAATCCATTTTGCAGGCTCTCTGAAACGCATTTAGTCCGTCTTATTTACTCCCTTTTTTTGCATTCTGCCTGCACCTTCATTTCGCATTCCTTGCAGGGGATAGTGCCTGGCAGGCCTAAAATGCATTATAGGCAGGGACTTTAAGAAGATCTATCCGATTTACAAAATAAAATCCATGAAACGCTCCCAAGCGACTAATGGCAAATTACACTATGCATCATTAAAAATTAACCTCGATGGATGCTATATTTTTGGATTCGTTACGAATTCCCAAGTTAAACTGCGTTTTCCAAAGAGTTCCCCGACGCAAGGATTCTTAGCAAAAGGACCTCAAAGTTCAAAAAATGCTGAAATTGACCAACTTTGCGGAGCTCTCAGAGACAAATGGATGCATGGCTTGGTTCGAAGTTAAAGTTTTTTAAAAGATACACCCTTTATCTTTCAAACCCCATACGTAAAATAATTTTAGGATTTTTTTTAAGGCAGAAATAAATTCCAAAAAACATAGTCAAAAAACTGAAAAACATACAGCCGCGGTCAAAATAGTAGTAGTGTTGCCGCCTTGTGTTTTTAAAAGTTTGATGTTGTAACTTTTTCTTATCCAATTAGTCTAATAGTAAAATTATAATCAATACAATATTACCAGGAAAAGAGCAATTACAACAACAAACTTTTAAATACACAGGGCGGCAACACTACTACCATTTTGACCGCAGCTGTATACTTTTATGTTTTTTGACTATGTTTTCTAGAATTTGTTTCTGCCTTAAAAAAAATCCTAAAATTATTTTAAGTACAGGGTTTAAAAGATAAAGGGTGTATCTTTTAAAAAACTTTAACATCGAATCAAACCATGCATCCATTTGCCTCTGAGAGCTCCGCAAAGTTGGCCAATTTCAGCATTTCTCGAACTTTGAGGTCCTTTTGCTAAGAATCCTTGCGTCGGGGAACTTTTTGGAAAACGCAGTTTAACTTGGGAATTCGTAACGAATCCTAAAAAAATATAGCAACCATCGAGGTAAATTTAAAAAACACTAAAAATGCTGCACAGTGTTATTTTTGCGTTGGACCCTGGATCACGAAAATTTCCACTAACATTTTTTTTATAGTTTTTTTTCAACTTTTTTTATATAAAAATGTTAGGTTGCTGTTTCTTTTACTTTTATCCACCCAATGCTACACACAAAAAAAAAACTTGGTAAAATCAACTGTAATAATTGTCAAACAGGCCCCAACCAGCAAAATTGTCAATTCTACTAAGTAAATAGTCATTTCACAACAACAAAATTCACACAATTAGCAAAGACACAAACCCAAAGCAAAAACAAAATACACGTAACTATTTTAATAGTTACGTAACTATCTTTGTTGGTCAATTTTACCAAGCAAATTTTTTTTTGTGTACAAGTTTTGTTTCATTCAAAGGTCAATAGATCAGCTATTGACCAGCTCAAGGGCTCGACAAGTATGAAAAATCGATTTTTTTTTGTTGGACGACTAAGTTTGCTATACAATTTGCAAAAACTCTAAAAAAAAAATAAAAATTTCTTATTTAGGGTATTCAATTGCGTTGCATTCAAAATAGTTTTCATGTGTAGGCCTTGAAAACTATTTTGTATAGAAATTGTTGTTGGAACTGCCTTACACTTTTACACTTTACAACGTTTGCAACGCAATTGAATACCCTAATTGTTTGTTCAAAAAATTTCTTTATCTGAAGAAATATAAAAATAAAAGTGCCATCGAAAAATTGTATTTAAGTTTTTTAACAAAATTTGCCATCAAGCGCTTGGGAAAATTTTGGCTTTCCACTATCGCTTAGTTAGATACGGTAAATAAAATAAGAAATAAAATAGGTTATGAGTACCAACTTTGTAACTGCTGTTTAAAGGCATCCCCTCCGCAAACCAAAATCACTGCATGCTAACCATATCTCATCTTAATCTTTCCCGTAGGAACTGGCAAGACTGCCACCTTCTCGATTGCTATCCTTCAGCAGATCGATACGTCCATTCGCGAGTGCCAGGCGCTGATTCTGGCCCCAACTCGCGAGCTGGCCACGCAGATCCAGCGCGTGGTGATGGCGCTGGGCGAGTACATGAAGGTGCACTCGCACGCCTGCATTGGCGGCACCAATGTGCGCGAGGACGCCCGCATTCTGGAATCTGGCTGCCATGTGGTGGTGGGCACGCCCGGACGCGTCTACGACATGATCAACCGCAAGGTGTTGCGCACCCAGTATATCAAGCTGTTTGTGCTCGATGAGGCCGATGAGATGTTGTCACGCGGTTTTAAGGACCAGATCCAGGACGTGTTCAAGATGCTGCCTCCAGACGTGCAGGTCATCCTGCTGTCCGCCACCATGCCGCCGGACGTGCTCGAAGTGAGCCGATGCTTCATGCGCGAGCCCGTCAGCATCCTGGTGAAGAAGGAGGAGTTGACTCTCGAGGGTATCAAGCAGTTCTACGTAAACGTGAAGCAGGAAAACTGGAAGCTGGGCACCCTATGCGATCTGTACGATACGCTGTCTATTACCCAGTCGGTTATCTTCTGCAACACCCGTCGCAAGGTTAATATTTTTAACTCTATGCATTTCTACTAATTTTTTTATTATGTCTTCAGTCCAATTGGAATAGTTAGAAATAACGATATTAGACTAGAATTTTACAGACTATTAAGTTTTGGTTATCATAAGAAAATTAAAAATACTAACGAATTGATCTCCCTTTTCTTCAGGTGGACCAGCTGACCCAGGAGATGTCCAGCCACAACTTCACCGTCTCGGCCATGCACGGCGACATGGAGCAGCGAGATCGCGAGGTCATCATGAAACAATTCCGTTCGGGATCCTCTCGTGTCCTGATTACCACTGATTTACTGGCGCGTGGTATTGATGTGCAGCAGGTCTCGTTGGTCATCAACTATGATCTGCCCTCGAACCGCGAGAACTACATTCATAGGTGGGTAATCAGCTAGCAACCGAATCCATTCCGCAAATGGCTCCTGTAAACATTTTTCGTCATTTGTTTTTATTTTAGAATCGGTCGCGGTGGTCGTTTCGGTCGCAAGGGTGTTGCGATCAACTTCATTACAGATGATGATCGACGAATCCTTAAGGATATTGAACAATTCTACCATACAACAATTGAGGAAATGCCTGCTAATATTGCCGATTTGATTTAAATATTTTCTGCTGAGCCGCAAAACAACTAAGAAAGAATTCTAAATAAAAAGTGAGTGAGCAAAACAGCAACCAAAAATTGCGAAATCAATAACCGAGCGCAAATATAAATTATTCAAAGATCATTAAAGAATTAAAGTCAAGTTAAATAATTATTCAACCATTAATTCAAAAAGGCAGCCGACCATCAAACGACAAGGACTAGACGCGGACAGAGTACCAACATCATTAGCAGCGGCGCAGCAGCAACATCATCAGCAGCGGGGGCGGCAGCAACAACATCTAGCAGCCGCAGGAGCTTACAAAATTTCGCCGAAACGCCGGACATCCTCTGTATCCATTTAGTTCTTCTCAGTGTATCATCAATTTTAAAACTGCGTCGTCAACCAGCAACAACAAATATATACAAATATATAAAAAAAAAACAATTGCGTCTATCTAAAATAAAGTACTATTTAAAACGAGGCACGAAGCAAGCAACTAAACGCAAACACCAAAATTATCAAACAAAATTTTGCCGCACCTTTGTTTTAGCTTTTTCTAGAACTATTGATAAAAATATACTAAAAACAAAAACACAAATGTACACATTATGTTTAAATATACCACTCCTAAGAAACAGCTGTCAAACGAAGATCAATTTTACGCAAAAGCAATGCGCATGGTTTCAGATTAATTAATGAATAAAAATGCTTATATACAGTGGGGTGGGATTGCTAATGCACATCAAAGAAATGGTTTCCTCGTTCTTGCAATTCGGTAAAATAGACTTTGTTTATAGCTATCTCTCGCAGTGGAAAATATTTGACATAATTGGTTTGTATTATACATTTTCACAGAAGTTTGCTATGCAGTGAAGAAACATATTTTTTGATAATGTTCTTGCTTTAGGCCCAGTACTCACTTCAATTAAAAGCCTACGAAATAAAAATCTCCACACAAAATTTTGTTTATGAAATTATCATTTCGTTGCCTTCTTAATTTAAGTGAGTACTAGTCCTTACGCTAAAACCCAGCGTCAATCATTCAGTTTATTTTGTATCATCGTATGGCATGAATAATACACATGAATAAGTTTGCTCTTTGAGTGTGGGTGCAATTCCCTACATTTGCATACAAAAATGCTTCGAAGTTACCCTTGCAGGAAAATTAAATACCTGGGATTATAGATACTTTATTTCCTATTTATGTTTTTAAATTGTCAGAAATCAAAAAATTGTCAAATCCTGTTACAATGTTTTTTCTATTATTTTTTTTTCATTATTCCTTTGGGAGACATAACATATAGTGGTCTGATCGAGTACCTCGACTATCAGATACCCGTTATTTGGCTAAAGGAAGTGCAAGGGAGATTTAAATAACAGGTCCCATTTGAAAAATTTCTTTTACTTTTTGAAAGGTATGAATAAACACAAAATTGCAATCATACTTTTTTGAAGTCTTTAAAGATGTGGCACTCTGATGAAGTAAACTTGCGCTGCATAGACACCCCAAGAACCTGCATGGTTTGTCCCATATATTTTATATGTATTTTCCGAGACCTCAGCGTTTATACAAAGGGACGGATTGACATGGCTAGATCGACTCGGATATAAATCCTGATCAAGAATATATATACTTTATGGGGTCGGAAACGACTCCTTCACTGCGTTGCAAACATCTGACTGAAATTATAATACCCTATGCAAGGGTATCACTATGGACGGCAGTCCATGTAGTGACGAAGCGCACCAGGAGAGTGTGCGAAGGCGACTACACCCAAAAAAAAAATCGACTGAAATCGCCCTTGGTTTTAGAAAATCGCCTATGAATTTGCTTTACTGGCGATTTTGTCTATATTAAAGAAAGTAGGTTTTTAAAATCAAAGACGTTTTTTCTAAAAATCAAAAAAAAATAGACTGCAATTTAGAAATATTTTGCTAGAAAGTAAAAAATTATTTCTTAGAATTTAGAAATAAAGGTTTTCTAAAAAATAGAAATACGGTTGTTTTTAAATATAGACAAATATTTTTTAAATAAAAAAAAAAATTTCTCAAATTCAGAAAATACAAAAATCTATTTTCGGGCTTCGGAATTATACCCGGTTGTTTCTGTGACGCCACGGCCTTTGTGTTGTTTTTTTTTTCGTTCTTGTTTGTCACCTTATTTTAATTTCCTTTAATTGAGCACATGGGTGGTTTCAAATTGGAACTGAAATGAGTGTACAAATTACAAATTATAAATATAAAAACCCAATAACTTACTATTTTGAGAAAAACATCTTGGTCGCCGCACGCGGGATTCGAACCGCTAACCGCTCGCGCCTCACAGTTTGCAGTCAAGCACTCTACTAGCTACGCCACGGAAGCATCACGTGAGGCGCTGTACAAAGTCTATTCACATTTTGTTCTCCTATTTTTACTCAAATTGATCTGGCTTTCTTCTGGTTATTCCTTTTAGTTTATCATTTAATTTTACTTTTAAATATTTATTGATTAATATTAATATTTATATATTTATTATTTATTATGGTTCAATAGTAACAGTAATTGAATGTTTCAAATTTGAAAAACTTAAACAAAATGCAATACATTTTTTTTATTAATATGTAACTATTAGTGTTAAAAAAAAAAACAAAAAGACACCACGAGTTTTTCGTCTCGACGTGGGTTTGAACTCACTCTTGCAGCCGCAAGCTTGAATAACATATGCATGCACGCACGCGTTAGACCCCTAGGCTACCAATCCCGGAAATTTTCTTCGATTAATAGCGATTTTTTCTTAGGCTAAAAAAAAACTTTTCTAAAAAGTCTATAAGAAAGGAAATCGATCAAATACGGTTAAATTTTTTATTTTCTAGAAAAATATTTCTTAATATCACACATTTTTTTCAAAATGTTAGAAAAATCTTCAAAAAATTTTTCTGTTATTAGAAAAACAATATTTCTATTATGTAGAAATATTTATAATTTTAATGGCAATTTTTTTTTAGTTTTAGAAAAGTTCAGTCTTTTTTTTTCTAAAATCAATGGCGATTTTAACCCTCAAAAAAAGAAAGGATGATTAGAAAAATAAACCTTATAATTTAGAAAAAAATTGATTTTTCTGTATTTCAGAAAATATTTTCTAAAAAAACTCGTTCAATTCAGAATTTTTTTGAAGATTAGAAAATTTTTCTGAAGATTAGAAAATTTTTCCTCTTTTTAGAATATTTTTTTGAAGCACAGAAAAATTTTTTTTTTCTATATTTAAGAAAAAATAATTTTTTGAGTGTACTATTATATACCCGCAAAATTGAAAATCTGCTGTGATAGTCCGATCGTAATGAGTAATACACCAATCGAAAGGTATTGCAAAAACTTAAAGGATTGCATACCAAGACTTTAAGAAAATCAATTGGCTTGGGAGAGAGAGCGGTGAAAGTGAAAAAGTGCAAATTTCGAAATTTGGAGCTGTTAGGGCCGGTGGGGATTAAAGCCCCCTCGCAATGTTTTAGTTGTCTTCCTATTGAAAATACCCGTCGATTGAGGGGTCATATGATAAAATCCGACGCTCTGTTCAAAAGTTATAGCCAAAATAAGATTTTCTTCGCCTTCCCGAAATGAAATTTTAATTCTGTTTGTCAGTTTGTCCAAAACATGTTTTTTAAGTTTTGAAAATTTGATATGACGTTCATCACATCGATATAAAAAACTTTTGTTCTACGACTTTTGGAAAAAGCCGCTACTTTAGCGGGAAAAAGCTAAAAATAGCTACATTTCGTTAGTTTGTAAGTTCTACACTACTAAAGGTACAGACATGTGCTATACCTCGTTTAAAAGGTATTTTGAAATACTTCAACGCCTTTTTAACTTAATTCGTTAAAATACAATAGTTTAAAAATTATGATTTATGACCAATTTAAATTTAAATGTTTATATTAGCACCTATGAGAGCAAAAGTAAACAAACAAAAACTTCTGATATCAAATAAAAACACCTCTTAACGAGGTAAAAAACTAGTGACGATCGAACCTTCAACGTACAAAAGTTCTGATATCAACTTTTGTGACGAAAAATGATTTTAGATGCGACTAAATAAGTACGCTACCTAAAATTTATTCGTTCGGCACGCTACAACAGAAAACTTTCGTGTAGATATTAAATATTTGCTAAAGCGGGCCGAACGAGTAAATTTTAGGTAGCGTACTTATTTAGTCGCATCTAAAATCATTTTTCGTCACAAAAGTTGATATCAGAACTTTTGTACGTTGAAGGTGCGATCGTCACTAGTTTTTTTACCTCGTTAAGAGGTGTTTTTATTTGATAATTAAAAGCTATAATAATTTAGACAAGTTTAATACCCTTGAAAATTACTTTCAAAAATTACTTGTAGAAAAAGAACACTGAGCAAGATAAACAACTGCAATTTCAATCTGTCTTTCTGTTCAATTCCCTTTGCAGTGTTGCCAGATGAAAATTTAGCTTTCCCCCTGAAAAATCTCAAACAGTCGAAATTTCCCCCTAAAAAATTCAATTTTCCCCCTAAATTCCAAAAATTAGTTAATTTCGAACATGTACAATAAATTATAAATATGTCAATATGACGTTGTAGAAATGTTAAGATTGTAAAAATCTGTGTACTCGAAAGGAAAGACGTGTCTAGTATTTTTTTTGACAGTTTTGAAATGTTTTAGGAAGTCACAACGTTTTAGTGATTTTTCTAAACATTTGGGTAATAAAATTTCCGGAAAACAAGAAAGGAAGCTAGCTTCGGCAAGCCGAAGCATATATACCCTTGCAGATCATTCTATTAATTTATAAATCGCCAAAATGTTAAAATTCCTATTATTTCACATAAATTTTTCGATCGTTTCTATACCCAAAAAAAATCGATATGAATCGTAGGTCAATTTGACCTTTTTTAAGATCATTTTTAACTTGATATGGGGCCAGGTAGAACGAAAATTTTCATTATTCCTGACCAAAACTTATTCTAGTGCGAGCAAGAAAACAAGCTTGAAGTACGTCAGTTCGAATTTCAAATACGTCTTTCTCGCTTCCACTCATGTCATTTTGCTCGCCATATTGATTCTTGCGCTCTTTTTCGAGGTTAGAGAATCTCCGAGAGAGAGAATTCGGCAAAATTATATTATTTAATGTAAATGTTATGAATATTTTAGGTAAAAACGATATGAGTAGGAATAACCAGAAAATTACCTGGACTTATCGATTTTACGGCGACGTGCTTTTTTTGTGTGTATGGCAGCTATGTGTCATAGTAGTTTGATCTTTTTATACCCTTGCAGAGGGTATTATAATTTCAGTCAGATGTTTGCAACGCAGTGAAGGAGACGTTTCCGACCACATAAAGTATAAATATTCTTGATCAGCATCACTAGACGAATCGATCTAGCCATGTCCGTCTGTCCGTCTCTCCGTCTGTCCGTCTGTATGAACGCTGAGATCTCAGAAACTACAAAAGCTAGAGGGTTAAGATTTCCCACACATATTCTTTGGCTTCCTACGCAGCGCAACGATTTTAAAATGGGTCCTGCGCCCACATCTTTAAAGATTTCCGAGAAGTATAAATGCAATTTTGTTGTGTATATTTATACTAGGGATGTCGAAATATTTAAAAATATCGTATCGATGATATTTTTT